CCATAAAAAAAAACAATGCCAGGATCCAAGGTTATAAAGTAATTTTTTAAGCTTAAACTCACATCTTAGGATTTTGATTGGTCAGAAACAAGCACAGAATGCACACTGACCAATGAAAATCCAGCAATTCAAAAAAAGATCTCAGAAAAAAAGTTTGATAACCCTGAGGCCAGATCATTATCAAATGAATGCCTCCTTTGAGCTTTTTGTATTACATTAGAATTACAGGTGAACTCTTCAAGTGAGGAGGTATTTTATAAGAAACAATGATGTACTTTGTCACCTCAGTGCAGTAATTAGGTTAACTTCTATAAAATCACAAAAGGAGTTACCCAATTACTGACTTTGTTTCTCCATGAAATATGTCAATTAAAAATAAGATAAAGCTGAAGCTCTAACCCTGATATCTAGATAGTTTAAAGTATATAAGTCAGCTTCAAATTAATAAATACCTTCATGTACCACTATTTGAATTGTCATTGCCTCTTCGAGACATTAAAATTTAATTTAAATAGTATTTTATACAATAAATAGTTTTTAAAAACATTGTTCTTGAACACTAAACTATAATATATAGTTTTTGTCATTGGAGATAAATTCTTCTATAGCCCTCTGGCATTCTGGTGAAGGCCATCTTTCCACCAGGAGATTGCATTCCGATTCATTTGTGAGATCAAGCTTTGTTCTTTGGTGACTTCTTACTAACAATTTGGTTGTTTCAAGCACCTGTAATATATTTGGTAGCAATTTTGAAAAGGTAAAAATCTAAGCTTATCAATTAACTATACTAGAGCCCCGTTTTTTATCCTAAAACTTAAATTTCCAATGTGTCTTTTCAATATAATTATCAGAGTAGTAGTTTGGTCTAAATTAATTTGAAGGCAGTTAAGATAGGGTTTGGGGGCATGCATTTCCAAGAATTGTTGTCAGAGGTGCCTTTTGGCATTTATAAATTAGTACTATAAATATGTTCATGGGAATTATTACAAATTGTAGGAAAGCAAGTAAATTTAAAACTTTCTTCTTTTTTAAAAGTGTGGGTCACAGCCTACATGGCCTATGGTAAGCTAAACCACTGACAATAATACTGAGGAAACTTAAGTAAGTCAATTATGAATTTCAATGGATATACATTTGTTTTATGACAAATGAAATAGCAGAAAATATGATGAAATGTCTTAATCAGTTACGTATTAACATGCCTGCAAACATACATACATGTGAAATATGCAATTGTAATTCTTACCTTTCCTGAAACAAGAGCCATGTGCTGTACCCGTGGAATGACTTCTTGCATCATACTGGTGGGCCAATATACCTGAGATACAAAACCGAGTTGACATGCCTCAATGGCTGTAATCTTCCTACCACCTACTAGCATCTCATTTGCCTGAAATTTATCAGTAACAGTGTGCCTTACTTTATTCTAGTATAATTTTTTCACATGCTTGTGCAATATTTTTTTTTACTTAAAAATAAATCTTAAATTGACAAGGAAAAAGTAAATAGAATCTTTACACAAAGTTTATTACTCTTGTTAAACAGTTTGATAATTCTGACAGAAAACTATTTTTGACACATATAACCTCTAGATTTCTCATTAAAAAGCTATGTGTACCTTCAGACAGAAATGTAATGTATAAGATAATCCAGAAACAAGGGCAATAACTCAGATAAACTAAGAATTTGTCCCAGTACATATCATTCTAATAAATTTATCGATTTATTACTATGAAGTGTATGTTTTACTAAGGAAAGGAACACCGACAGGAAAATCTAACTCTTTTCAAATCTACAACTTCAAATGTATATAATCTGTGTCAAACAAATATCTTTTTAACATGTGCATGTATAATGAAATAACAAATAAAGAGACAAAAAAAAAATGTATAATGAAATAACAAATAAAGAGACAAACATATTTTTATAATACAGACCATTGCAATACCAACGATATTTGGTAAAGTAAAAGATGCACATCCTTCTGGTGTTTGAGATAATTGAGCATATGGCATATAAAATGTTGCTTTATCACTGGCATATACTATATCACATAATGGCAGCAGGGCCGAGCCCAGTCCGATAGCCGGCCCTGTCACTACTGCTACTATCAACTTGGGAAATGTGATGAACTTTCGGACAAGATCCCTGTAAGAGAAGTTCCGATTAACAGAAATTTATTCCTTTAAATGTCTTAATACTACAATGAACAATATTTGCTTCAGGATTAGGGGTTGGAATGATTTAAGTGGCAAAACAATGTCAATATCAGTTTCTGTACAATAAAACAAGTTATATGTGTTTGAGACATCACCTGACATAAACAGACAGTCACATTGAAATTCTAACAAAGTGCTTTATAATTATATATGTACATGTATCAATTACTATACAGATTATCATGTGATCAATAGCATGTTGATATGAAGTATTTGAAAGAGGGATACAAGTATGGGAGACAGTAACTTTCATTAAGGTGAGTGGTGACCAAGTGGTTAAGGTGTCTGTCTCTTATCCCAGGGATTATGGGTTCGAGCCCTATACCAGTCATGATCATGTCTCCACTTTTCACATAATACTGCCTAGATCAAGAAAGTGGACTCGAAAGTGATTAATGATTTTGTTGTAGAAGGATACAAGTATGAGACACAATAACTTTCATGTTGCATTACAACTTCCTCACTTTGTTAATAGTTCAGTACCCCTCCTTACATTATTTCATCATCTGTCTCTCCAGTTGCTCAAGTTTTTAGTTACAATGTTTAAATACAGAAAACTCATCAATAGTGAACACTTATAGCCTGGATGTTTTACCTGAGAGAATCTGCCATCTGTCTGGCAGCAATTTTCTTGTCTCCTACAGTTAGGTAATGAAGATCTACACCAGAACAGAACACATTACATAAACCACTGAACATCACCAGGTTACTGTCATCATACTTGGCTGCATTCAGTGCCATTGAGATCTCTTGCATTACCTGCAGAAAGAATACAAGTTCCTATATAACTTTGTAAAACATCTTCAGGTTTTTATACATTATTATAGTATTCAACTGTTTTCTTAACATATATGGAGGATAATGCCACCTGTGAAATATATATTTTCATACCACTCCATGAAAATAAATTTTTTACAGTAAAAACATAGAAAAGGAAAATAATGTCTGCATTTTATTTCACCAATATCTCATTTATAAATATATAATAGATCATTTTCTTTCGATACAATTTAAAAATTGTTATATACATTATAAAAAAATCAATATAAATTTAAAAAGAAAATTTTAATATTCACAAAGAAAAATGGTTTACCAATGGATTGAGAGCATTTTTCATCTTGGTATGTGTATTTAGCCAGATCTGAGTGTATTTTTGACATTTTTTGATCACTATTTCCTTGTACTTGAAGGCACATTCACTAGCCCGTACACTAACACGTCGTTCAATATCCGAGGCTACGGTTTCTGTAGTTGCTTTCTTCTTGTTCTTTGGATGCAGCTGATGGGGGAGATTTTCTAATAAAACCTGACAAAATAGTTCATGTTGTATGCAAAATGACCACAATTTCTTTTAGAAAAGTAATCTAAGTTCAAGGACACAGAAATTTGTAAGAAATATGAATTCATCAACTAAAAACATTTTACCTTGTTAAAAAATAATATTATAATAATTAACATCTTCCCCTTGGCCCACTTGCTATTTGACATGAAAACAACTTAATAGTTTACAAAACTTATTACAATATTATAGACGTCTGACATATGAGCATTTGTATAAAATATAAATGTTTCATTTAAAAAGAAATATTCAGAAATGCTATATTAAATGCTCATACCATTTTAATTACTATTAAAACTAAATTTTCTGTGAGATGTTTAAACTCACAATCCACAGACAGTTAATTAATAGTATACTGAGGTCTTTAGTTTATTCACAAGACTTTAAACCTTTTGATATTTATCTGATCATTTCATCAAAGTCTGATAATAAAATGAAGGGTGAACTATTAAAGAACTAGAACTATTGCTGAATGCGATTCATACCCCCACCAATGTCCTTGACAGAAGACGACTTGGAAAAGTGGTTAAGGGAATAACTTTAGTGGCACAAATACATAAAAAGAAATTATCTCTGGTGAAAAGAAAGACTAATTGAACAGGTAATAGTATAAATATATATTATCAAATCATGTTCAAAACAGAGTTACAAATAACCTTTCAATACATAAAAAGAAATTATCTCTGGTGAAAAGAAAGACTAATTGAACAGGTAATAGTATAAATATATATTATCAAATCATGTTCAAAACAGAGTTACAAATAACCTTTCATTTTTTCCAATGTACTAAACATTTTATAAGTCAATTTTTGACCTTCAAGTGTGGCCTTGACCTTAAGCAGGCACAAGGGTAAGGTGGGTTCTGCACATTGCCCAGTTGGGGTGAACATTTGAGTCAAGTTTGAAGAAAATCCTTCCATTAGTATAGAATTTATAGAGTGGACACAACATATTGTCTAGTATTGATTGTATGTAAATTTAAAGACTTAAAAAAGGGCATAACTTTGTCAAAATCCAATACAGAGTTATGAAACTTGACCTGCATATCTTATTTGTGACACCTCATATATCTTTTCAGTTTCAAGCAAATTCCTGTGCTAGTTTCAGAAATATTCAAGTACATGTTAAAATTTAAGAACATTTTCTAAGTCAATTTTTGACCTTCAAGTGTGACCTTGACCTTTAGCCGGCACAAAGGTGACATGGATTCTGCACATAACCTTGTTGAGGTGAACGTTTTAGTAAAGTTTGAAGAAAATTCTCCCATAAATAAAGGATTTATAGAGCGGACACGGCATATTGTCTAATATTTGATTGTATGTAAATTAGGAGACTTAACAAGAGCTGTCGGTAGGACAGCAACGCTCGACTATTCTTAGTGCTTGATAGTAAAAAAAATGCTTGATACAATTACCTCCTCCTGTTTACAGGTTGGGGTAATGATGGTGAACAAGTGTGCAAAGTTTCAAAGCCATATGTCAATGGACTTTGAAAATATTTGAACTATTACAAAAACTTTAACGTAAATTCTAAGTCGAAAAAGGGGCATAATTCTGTCAAAATGCTTGATAGAGTTACCTCCTCCTGTCTACAGGTTGGGGTCATGATGGTGAACAAGTGTGCAAAGTTTCAAAGCCATATGTCAATGGACTTTGAAAATATTTGAACTATTACAAAAACTTTAACGTAAATTCTAAGTCGAACAAGAGCTGTCGGTAGGACAGCAACGCTCGACTATTCTTAGTGCTTGATAGTAAAAAAAATGCTTGATAGAGTTACCTCCTCCTGTTTACAGGTTGGGGTCATGATGGTGAACAAGTGTGCAAAGTTTCAAAGCCATATGTCAATGGACTTTGAAAATATTTGAACTATTACAAAAACTTTAACGTAAATTCTAAGTCGAAAAAGGGGCATAATTCTGTCAAAATGCTTGATAGAGTTACCTCCTCCTGTCTACAGGTTGGGGTCATGATGGTGAACAAGTGTGCAAAGTTTCAAAGCCATATGTCTATGGACTTTGAAAATATTTGAACTATTACAAAAACTTTAACATAAGTGGTTACGCCGACGCCGACACTCGGGTGACTGCAATAGCTCTACTTATTCTTATCGAATAGTCGAGCTAAAAAGGGGCATAATTCTGTCAAAATGCTTGATAGAGTTACCTCCTCCTGTCTACAGGTTGGGGTCATGATGGTGAACAAGTGTGCAAAGTTTCAAAGCCATATGTCAATGGACTTTGAAAATATTTGAACTATTACAAAAACTTTAACGTAAATTCTAAGTCGAAAAAGGGACATAATTCTGTCAAAATGCTTGATAGAGTTACCTCCTCCTGTCTACAGGTTGGGGTCATGATGGTGAACAAGTGTGCAAAGTTTCAAAGCCATATGTCAATGGACTTTGAAAATATTTGAACTATTACAAAAACTTTAACATAAGTGGTTAGGCCGACGCCGACTCTCGGGTGACTGCAATAGCTCTACTTATTCTTATCGAATAGTCGAGCTAAAAAGGGGCATAACTTTGTTAAAATGCAATACAGAGTTATGAAACTTGACCTGCATATCTTAATTGTGACACTTCATATACATTTTAAGTTTCAAGCAAATACCTTTTCTAGTTTCAGAAGAAATATTCAAATACATGTTAAAATTTAAGAATATTTTCTAAGTCAATTTTTGATCTTCAAGTGTGACCTTGACCTTCAGCTGGCAAAAGGGTGACATGGGTTCTGCACATCCCCTTGTTGAGGTGAACATTTGAGCCAAGATTGAAGAAAATCTTTCAATTAGCGAAGGACTTATAGAGCGGACACGACATACTGTGTAATATTTGATTGTTTGATATTTGACCTTCAATTGTGACCTTGACCTTGAGCTGACACATGGGCAACATGGGTTCTGCACATCCCCTTGTTGAGGTGAACATTTTCGCCAAGTTTGAAGAAAATCCTTCAATTAGTGTAGGACTTACAGAGCAGACACAATATACTGTGTAATATTTGATTATTTGATATTTGACCTTCAATTGTGACCTTGACCTTGAGCTTACACATGGGCAACATGGGTTCTGCACATCCCCTTGTTGAGGTGAACATTTGAGCCAAGTTTGAAGAAAATATTTCAATTAGTGTAAGACTTACAGAGCGGACACGACATACTGTCTAATATTTGATTGTGTTTGATATTTGACCTTCAATTGTGACCTTGGCCTGACACATTGGCAACATGGGTTCTGCACATTCCCTTGTTGAGGTGAACATTTGAGCCAAGTTTGAAGAAAATCCTTAAATTGGTATAGGATCTATAGAGCGGACACGAAAATGGAGACGGACAGACCGACCGACTGACCTACCGATGCGACAAAGCGAATCCATTATAGCCCCCCCCCCCCACATTTTGTTGTGGGGGTATAATAATATCCAGTCAACAAAGAATGAATACCTTATAAGACATAGAAGCAGGACTGATAGGTAGACTGGCTGACTGTGCTGTACCAGGGGTTATATCATCATCTATCACCCACTGTGGCTGGGCAAGTAATGGCTGACTAGATTGTAACACGCTGCCTGAAGATGTAGTATGTTTAACTGTAGTGTACACTGGTGTAGGGGATACTGGCCTCACTATAAATAATATTATACATGTTTAAGCTACATATAATAAATATGTAAAAATATTTGGCCGTCGGCCTAAAAACCAAGCATTCTACAGTTTCATTAACCTTTTTAACAGTATTGTTAAAAAATCTCATCAAAAATTGTTCATAAATTAGGATTTTAAACAGAAAACCCCATGTAACACTAAAGTTCATATACGAATTTTAACATGCAAATGAAGACTATAATCAGCTTGTGTATGCGCTATGTCACAGTTTTATAGTTGCTATCTGGAACACAGCAAATATTCTTATTATTTTCTTGTACAAACACACATTAACTGTTTTAACTTCAAGGTGCACTAAGCCTTGGGTTCAGAAAAAAGTAATCATCTCATTAAAAAGATTAAATTTGTATGAAAACGTCCGTTACAATGCGGAAATATACCGTTAAATTAGGACTGCTACTTATAGTCATGTTTGTTGATTTAATATTGATGTACGGATGATCCTAGGGCAGAGTCTCTCATGCAAACAGAAATAGTACTGGAGATTTCACCAAAATGAGGTTGCCCATTTTTATGCTTATAAAACTCATTTTGGTTGACTGGACACCAAAATAAGATCCGGAGTCGATATGAAACCCAATTTATTAATGAAATGTCGCTATTTCTGTTTTTATGAAATTTATTAAATGTAGCTTTAAAGTAAGCATGGAATTGGGTGATCTGTACATTCTTGCTTATTCAAATGAAGTTCTTTAAATATAGACTTGTCAAGCTTACATGTTAAGCTCAATTCACAAACAACTTAATAGATATTAACCCATAACCTGCTATATTTCTATAATGGATCTGTTCAGCTTTGAATTAAAACAGTCAATTCAAAGTTCAAAGGATTTCAATATCAAAATAAGAAAATTGAGCTGCCAACAGTATAGAGCCTGGTCAGACTGCACAGTAGTGCAGGCTGGCCTGGCTCTATGCTGGTGGCAAAGGCTGATCACTTTTGGTTACAGCTGGTCAAGGGTTAAGAAGAAAGTTTAACATAATCACATTTGTTAGCATACAACATTCGGGCCTCAATATGCAAGCTAGAAAAACTGCCTACTGTAACAATGGCTGTATACAAGTGGCAAAGGCTTAAACTTTTAGATTAGCATTAACATCTTCACCTCAGTATCAACAATAGAAACGTGCAGTGGAAAGTTGGGAAATAATATTTATTAATAGTTATTTTATAGAGCAAGGATAAATTACTTGTTCCATCTGAAGTTCATTCATTTTATTTTCAGTCAATTTAGGAGATTTGCTGTTGATTTTTCACAAGACAGTTAGGCTTGAGTTTGAAAATTTCACAGGTCTACCAAAGTTCAGTTATCCATATGCTAGGGAACACAGGGCTTTTTTCCTTCTATAGCAGGGGCCGTTATAGGACTGCTTCCCCAAAGAAAAATTATTTAAAATCATGCAGTTTCCCCCAAAATTGAATTTACATCAAGTTTTTTCTTCCCTTTTTGCAAAAATACTGTGTTATTTTTCCCCAAAATTAAGGGTAGGGCTGCTTCCCCAACCTGTGAAAAAAGCCCTGGGGCAACCATTTAATTCGCAGACTGATCGTTAAGTCTTCTTACATAATATAGGGATAGACAAAACATTAGGCATTACCTCATGCATACATATAAATATTAAAATGTTATTATGACTAAATTTACCTAGTTTCTCAGGCGAGGCTTGTTTCAAACTGTCCAGCAGTTTGATTTTCTTCCCTGGTGAAGCCTCTGAGGTTGACTTGGATTTTTTAACCATATTTTTCTTCCCTTTCTGTGATGGTTTTCTCTTATCCACACTGCTTTCTGACTTGGACCTTGCAGAATCTACACCTGGCATGGTATTAGAGAGGTAATGACTAGAATCTGGATCATTTATAGCTAGATCAGAAGTATCAGACAATGAATACAAAATCTCAGCATCACTGTCACTGTCAGTCTCGATCGTCAAGTCAAGATTTTCTGATTTTCGTTTCTTTGGTATTGTAGAATTATCTTTCTTCTTTTGCGTCTCCACTGTTTTTGTGCTGTCCTCATGCTTTCCTGAAGATTCTGCTTTCTTTTTTGAGCCTATTAAATGTGAAACAGACAGTTTCATTTCTTGTTTCTTTTTACTTACTGGCCTAAAAGCTGATTTTTGAGAACTATTCAGAAGTTTTATGTTTTTTAAACTTTCCTTCTTTTCTTTACTTTTAGATTTATCATTTAATGTCCCTGATTTCTGTTTTACCTTTATACCATTGACTTTCTTATTTTGCTTCATGCTGTCTTTCACTTTTTTCACCTTCAATTTTTCAACTGGCTCATCGTCGCTTGAAAATGAAATTTCTTCATCAACTGCTGTCCAATTCTTTGCATTCATAACTTCATCTCCCTCTTTTTTATTAGGAAGAACATCACCTTCTGATTTCCTTCTCTTACCTTGCAAACTATTCTTGTTTCCTTTCTTGCTTACAGAAGCAGATAATTTTAAGCTCGACTGTAATTTCTTTTTCTGTTGAGGTGAAGATAAAGTAATCTTTTTCTTAGGAGTTGGAGTAACAACATGTTCTCTTTTTATTTTGATTTTTAATGGGGTAACTTTAACTACGATTTTCTTTGGGGTTACAGAATCCTTTTTCTTCTTAGATTTTGGGTTAGTGCTTGTCCCATTTACTACTGCTTCTAAAACATTATCTATAGAATATATTGCCACATTCTTGTTTGGTTTAGCAGTCTTTTTCTTCTTCTCGCTATTCAGTTTCATTTCTTTTTTCAACTGTTTAATATTTTTAGCTGAATTAACAAAACTTTGATCTTGCCTTGCCATTTTACTCTTGTTTACAAGTTTCTTAACAATCTTTTGCGTGTTAGCGGCACTCTTCTTCCTTTGCTTTTCAAATTTTATAATTTTCTGTTTACAATTTTGTAGGTTGTCAGCTGGTTCCCATGTGTCCCAGTCAGCGGTGAAGCCTTTCCAGTGTACTAGGTATTCCACTTGGGAACCATCCCCAATACGCTTGTCAAGGAGGCTATCAACCTTAAATATATCAATTAAGGAATTTTCATCACGAAAAATTCATCCTCTAAAAACTTCTGTATGGTAGAGACATACAGCAGGTGTTAAAATGTTCAAGCTGCTAATTTCACAATGGTATATAAATCTAAGAAAAAACATACTATTTAAATTTGAGGAATTATATTTTCAACACTTAATTTTTATTATCCCTTTTTGTACTGTTTATTTTATGTGATGGATTTTTTTCTCCTGCTTTACCATTGGAATTTGTTCTCTGTTAGCTATGGAAACAAGAGCTGAACATAAAACAGTCTGTGTGTAGTGTGTGAGTTGACTATTGATACTAGTGGGATGATAATAGGTCTTAAAAACTACTTTAAAATCATAATAGCTCAACTTTGTTTGGAAACAAACAAGCTAAAATTGAGATGGTATGAAAACCTTAACCAAAAGTGTGACGCAGATGCTGACTTTTAAGGCAACGCACTGGAAAATTAGATTGTTCTCACTAATATTATATATTAAAATATAATCGCCACACTAAAAATCTGAAAAATCAAAAGATTAAAAAAAAAAACATTCCTCAGTATCAACTCAAGACTCTTCAGCCTGTAATGAATACATTTACCGGTATATAAAAATGAAAAAATAGGATGGCATGCAAATGATCCATGAAAGTCCATGCAGAAATGGAATCTATGAGATATCACACTGTCACATCTAACTGATAATATATATATATATATATAAAACAAAAAATAAACAATAAAACTAAAATCTTGAAAAAATAATGAACAACAAATAACATAATGATAAAGAGAATTTGATCAGTTATTTTTGGGGTTGTAAGGTATATATCATATATCCTGTTTGAAAAAAAAACTAGACATGTGTTCATAAGGCACAGAGTTTTCCACATTCCACATGTCCAAAATTTTCTTGGCAATGAGGGGGACTGCCGCCCCCCTTCAAACCCCCCAAACAGAAGGGGGCACATCCCCGGCAAAAAGCCGTCGAAACACGCTTATATAAGGGAAAAGGTTAAGGGCAATAACTATACAAATACTAAATAAATCAAAAAGCAACCCCCCCCTGGAGGTGCTCAACTACACATGCTGACCAACATTCCTGTAAAGTTTCAAGACTAGTTTAGGTCATATACTTTTTAACCTACAAACAACACAAATTGAAAATTGCCAATTTTAACTTAGTCAAGGGCAATAACTCAAACAAAACTGAATTATTCCAAAAGCGAAACCCCAGGTGCACAACTTCCAGTGTTTTTTTTCACCAAAATATTCGGCGAAATTCCCCCCTCAAAATAGTATGTTTTTTCCCCCTTCAAAGCCTAAATTATCCCCTATATGGCAGCCGGAATTTGCCTGCAATAATTATCCTTTTTTTTTTTTGCAACTAACTGCCGAAAAATGTTTTATTTAATGCCTGTTAGAGTTACTGTTAAGCAAGGTTGTTTACAAATCGTTCTCTGGTAGGTAAGGGGAGCTACTCCCTGCGTCCCAACAAGTTAAACATACGACATATCAAATTTTAGATCCGTATATTAAGAAAAAGAGATGTATTTTAAACTTGTGTTGCAAGAGTTGCTCCCCTTTTCAACCGCAAAGAAAACAATATAAAATAAGTAAACAAATAATATTCCCCCGCCTATTGCAATTTTCCCCCTCCAAAGGGCACCGACCCCCTTCCTCCAAAAGTGAAAAAAAACACGGACTTTACGTGATGACACACAGTCTTGTAAATTTTGTTGACTAAGGGCTAAGGCCCAAACACTTTTAGAGATATATAGTAGTCCCCGCAGGTACCGCGTCCTTGCCAATTCCGATGTAATCAGGAAATTTGTTTCTTTACACATTGAATGCCACCAAATACAGTTTCCACCATTAATGTGAAAGTGGAAGTGCTGCTTTTTGTGAATTTGGATAGAAATTGTTAGAATTTTTTTCATTTCAAATAAATTCTGTCATTCATAGGAAAATCCAAAGCTGCCTGAGTGTGCTGAAAAAACTTCTTTACTTTACCCCAAATATAACGGTTAAACTTAAAATTTCATGTTCCGACAAGTGCAGGTCGTCTGCTGAAACTATAGTGACAGCAAATTCTGTTACAAAAAATTATACTGAAGCCAAAAAGGGCCATCAATTAACATACCACGGTACCATAGTGCTCTCCGGATAAGCTCCCATTCTAAACATGGCTGACCGACCATAGATGTTTCTAATTAAAATCATTGAGTTATTCTATGAATGACATGTGTATTTTAAAGTCAAAATGCGACGGGTAAACACAATTCAATAAAATAGTAAATATAAGTTATTTTTATTTGTACAATTTGCTGGAAATAATAAGAACAGTGGTACCATAGGGGACCATCCTATGATCCTAAATGCCCCCATAGTGGAACCACAAAAAAATCCTTGAAATAACATCAGCATAAATATGGGCCGCGTTTACCCGTACCGAATTTGTGTAAGGACTAGATAACTGGGGCCGAGTTAGTTTTTGGGCCGAGTTAGTTTTTGGGCCGAGCTGACCCGATTCTCAATAAACAAAAACACGGTGGAAAGAATAAACACGAAACAAAAGAAATCGAACTATGACAACAGCAAGAGACAACACATATATGTCTGTCTTACTGTACTTGTCTCCTTTCATTGCCTACAATGTCGTTATCTACGGAAATCGTTTACTCTCACCTCGTAGTCAAATTCGCCGGTGCCCGCCATTACAGGAAACGCTATCAGTGCCCGCTAGGTGTCACTGTTAAACAAAATGGCAGCGCCCATTCTCAGGAAATTTAGCCGGTAACATTTTAACTAAACAGTTGAATTAAAATGAAATGATTTCAGCGAAATTCTATTTAATCATATATAGAAATGTGTATCAAATTGTTAAAAACTGCTTAAAGTTTTTGACAACTCACAGACATTTTGGGGTCAGACCCTGTGCCCCCACAACCGATCAAAACGCGCAACAACAATAAACTTTTAAAGTTTTAACACAAATGGACATCTGTCTTTATCATTAAACTTGTTTTTGAACCATTTCAACAAAAACTGTAATTATTCCTTCCAAACGAGAACAAAGACACTTCAACGAACCCCTCCCCCCCCCCTGACATTCCTGACATTGACAATTCACCACCCCCCTCTCCCCCTTTCCAGCTCTCACCCCTCTTTTGAAGACACTTAACCCTTCGAGACATTTAATAATATGAAATTAGGCAAAGCCTATCAACGGGGAAGTCAGTTAAAAAAATAGTTGATTTTTCCGTTTAAGTTGTCATTCTGTATTATTATGCACCGCTTCCGTTTTCACTCGGAATACTTGACGATTAATATGAAAAAGGCAGACCTCAAAGCGAGCTCGATGTACTTTTAACGTGAAATAGTATGAAATAATCGCTCATTTTTATTCCATGTGCGTGTGACGTCACACGTACTGTGTTAAATATGGCTCCGCCCCTGTCGTTAAATGAATAATGAGTTTTGAAAACGTTGATAAAACTTTGTTTGTTTATTTTATTTCACTCTATAATTTTTCAAGCGAAATAAAGATTATTAAAAGTGAAATAAATGTAAAACTTTACACGTTTGCGACATTAAAATAGCATACTTGATTTGATTGTTTTGCACGTGCTGTTTGGCGCTACATTGTGACGTCACATAAACAATACTTTAAACCAGAGCTCCAGATAATTGTTTTGGCCAAGGGGTTTTTACCCCTCAAAATTTAGAGTGTGGGGTTGTAGTGTTTGAATATGCGCAGTGTAATACTAACTGTTTTAGTCTATTGAAGTATTATCAATATAGTAACAATTTTAGGCTAGTGAAGTCTGTTGAATACTCTCTATTGTGAAGGTTTAGCGCCATATTAAAATCAGTAAAAAGTAACAGCGACATTCTAGTTTTTCCTTAATAAAATATAAGAACCCAACACAACAGTGGCGACGAGGATCTTTGGAAAACAATTGTCGGTTATAAACTGTTTGATTTACTGAATATTTGAGCAGCAGAATGGCAGTATTCGGGAAAATTGACGAGTTTAACCTGTATGGTGAAAACTGGGACGAATACGATGAAAGGTTGTCTCACTATTTTATCGCGAATAAGATAGACGATGCGGCAATTAAAAGATCTATTCTGTTGTCGGTGGTAGGATCCAAGACCTACAGTTTAATTAGAAATCTTTCCTCACCAGCTAAACCTGGAGAAAAATCGTTTGATGAACTCAGAACATTGATCAAGGATCATTTAAAGCCTAAGCCTCTCATCATTGCAGAAAGGTTTAAATTTCATCAAAGGAAGCAGGGCGAGGGGGAAGGTGTGAGTCAATACTTAGCTGAATTGAGAAGGTTAAGTGAGAACTGTGAATTTAAAGACTTTCTTGATGATGCACTTAGAGATCGTTTTGTTTGTGGTCTAGCAACACCTTCGATCCAGAAGAAGCTGCTGTCAGAAGATAAGTTAACACTTAAGAAAGCTTTAGACATTGCAGTGTCGATGGAAATGGCTGCAAAAGAAACTGTGAAACTTAAAAACGGTCCTGAGATTGAGGTCAAACATAGTGCAAATAAACTCACAACCAACAAAAAAGAATGTTTTCGATGTGGTAAAAGTAACCATGAGCCAGATGTTTGTTTTCATAGGAAAAGTCAGTGTAATTCCTGTAAACAGTATGGACACTTAGGTAAATGTTGCCCTCAAAAACATGTAAAATCTGATCAAAAGTCGGTACAACGTAGTACATCAAAGCCAGAGCATTCAGGTAGATCCAGACAGAAATTCAAAAAGAATAAATCTAGAGTGCAGTATGTTGAAAATGCTGAATCTATTTCATCTGAATCTGATGAAAAAGATGAAGATTGGCCATTATTTACAATGAAATCACCAAAACAGAAGGAAATAATTGTACATGTCAATATTGAAGGTTATTCTCAGAAGATGGAACTTGATACTGGTGCTTCAGTTTCAATATTGTCAGAGACTGATTATAAAGGACATTTCAGTAACATAGCTCTTAGACCTAGTTCAGTGATTTTGAAAACATATACGAATGAAACTGTTCAAATTTTGGGTGAAATTGATGTAAATGTCTGTTATGGAAGTCAGGAAGCTAAGTTGCCTTTAGTGGTTGTGAAAGGTTCCGGACCAGCATTATTCGGTAGGAATTGGTTATCAGCATTAACTTTAGACTGGGAAAAAATTAAATTCACATCTTTGGATAAAGGACAGTCTTCAGTGAATGAATTATTGAAAAGGTTTCCAAATGTTTTTGACAATAAAACTGGTGTAATGAAAGGAGTTACTGTGAAATTGTCTGTGAAGGATGGTAGCAAGCCTGTATTTTATAAGCCAAGGACAGTACCTTATGCTCTTCGTGACAAGGTAGCACAAGAACTTGATCGTCTGGTAAAGGAGGGAATTGTAGAAAAAGTTTCGTATTCGGATTGGGCTACGCCAATAGTTGCTATTCAGAAACCTAACAAAACTGTAAGAATTTGTGGAGACTACAAGGTTACCTTGAATCCAGTTTTGGATGTTCCAGAATATCCTTTACCAACATCAGATGATGTGTTCCAAAAATTGAATGGTGGTAAAAAATTCACTAAATTGGACTTGTCGCATGCTTATCAACAGGTGTTACTTGATGAGTCATCAAGAAAATATGTAACTATAAATACTCATCTAGGGTTATTTCGTTACTTACGTTTGCCATTTGGGGTTGCTTCAGCGCCAGCGTTGTTTCAGGAAACCATGGATAAAATTTTGAATGGATTGGAACATGTTGGATGCATTTTGGATGATATTATCATCACTGGAGTAGATGATGATGATCACTTGAAAAACTTGGAAGTTGTATTACAACGATTGAATGACATGAACATTAAGTTAAATGCTTCAAAATGTTACTTCATGCAAGATGAAGTTGAATATTTCGCTTTCCGAGTAACAAAGGAGGGAATAAGACCTTCTGAACGGAAAATTGATGCCGTCTTACAACTTCCTGATCCTAATAACCGAAAAGAACTTCAACAATGGCTTGGATTAGTAAATTATTACCGCCGATTCATCCCAAATATGTCAACTATTGTACAGCCGCTTACAGAATTATTGAATAATGGTGTTAAGTGGAATTGGACAGAATCGTGCAAAGAAGCATGTGAAACTGTTAAGCAATTGTTGACGTCATCCACAGTCCTTGTACATTATCATCCGGAGAAAGCAGTCACATTAGCTGTAGACGCGTCGCCATATGGACTAGCCGCTGTTATTTCGCATGAAATGGAGAACGGCTCAGATAGACCTATAGCGTATGCATCAAGAACACTTACTGCATCTGAGAGAAATTACTCTCAACTTGAAAAAGAAGCATTAGCCATAATATTCGGTATTCAGAAATTTCATCAGTTCTTGTATGCGCGTAAATTCACTTTGTTGACGGACAATAAACCTTTAAGTCTAATACTAGGACCTAAGAAAGGCATACCAGTTCTAGCCGCGTCAAGATTACAAAGATGGGCAATCCAGTTGTCGGCTTATCAGTATGATATCAGATATCGATCAACAACGAAGAATGGAAATGCTGATACATTGTCACGTTTTCCGCTACCTGAGATTACTGAGGAGTCGAACAATGTGTTGTTTGTGGAAGGCAGCGAAGTAAACAAGGAACAAGTGAATTCTCTTCCAGTTACACCCGATAAAATTGCCAAAGCTTCGCGAAATGATCCGGTGTTATCAAGGTTGATACATTTTACAATAAACGGTTGGCCTGTCAAATCTGAATTAAGTGAAGAATACTTACCATATTATAAGTTTAGAGATGAATTTACCACTGAAGAAAGTTGTTTATTAAGAGGAATACGAGTTGTAATTCCACGTACGTTGCAAGAAAGGATGTTAGAAGAATTACATGAAAATCATCCTGGAATTGTTAAGATGAGATCTTTAGCAAGAATGCATATGTGGTGGTTGAATATAGAAACTGACTTAGAAAGTAAGGTAAAAAGCTGTATTCCTTGTCAGCAGAATAGAAGACCGATGGCTAAAGCACCGCCTAATCCTTGGAGATGGCCTAGTAAACCCTGGCAGCGTATTCATATTGACTATGCTGGGCCATTCATGAATCAAATGTTTTTAATTGTTGTGGACGCCCACTCGAAATGGATGGAAGTTCTCAAAATGGCTTCTACAACTACTGAAAGTACTGTTAATGCATTAAGATATTTGTTTTCAGCCTACGGGATAGTGGAGGAGATAGTATCTGACAACGGTCCACAATTTGTCTCTGAAGAATTCCAGAAATTTGTTAAATTAAATGGAATAAATCATATTCGTTCAGCAGCTTATCATCCGAGTTCAAACGGGGAGGCTGAAAGAGCTGTCCAAACTTTTAAAACAACTATGAAAACTATGAATAATGAACCTGGAACTTTGAATCAAAAGATGGCGAGATTTTTGTTATCATATCGTTCCACTCCGCACTCTACGACACAAGTTTCTCCAGCAGAATTATTTCTTGGACGACAAATTCGAACACGTCTAGATATCATGCGTCCAAACTTAAGTAACAAGATTCAAAAGAATACTACTCCAAAAGAATCTAAAGTTCGCATATTTCAAGAAGGCGATAGTGTTTGGATTCGCGACTACAGAAAATCGGTTGAAAAGTGGGTTGGTGGAATCATAGTTCATCAACTTGGTCCTGTAACTTACCAAGTTAAAGTGGGTGATCTAATTTGGAAACGCCATGTTGACCAAATTCGTGAACGCGAAACTGATATTCCTGTAAACGAAAGCAATACCAATATACCTATAACAATGCACGTACCATTTGATTCAACTCAGTCAAACCAGGTACAAGACAATTTACCAAATTCTACAGTAGAATCAGCAACAGAAGCGTGTGTTCAAACCCCAGTTCAAGCAGAATCACATGAAAACTCAAAGACAGCAAGTCCAGCAATGAAACCATTACCAAAACGTTCAACTAGAGGAATTCCACCAAAGAAATTAGATTTGTGATTTAAATAGTACATGTATATGGCATGCACGTGTGTAAGGGCATAATAATCCCTGTGCTACCATGGAGAACAAAGTTCTCTTATATTCTAGTTATATGTTTTAGTTAAAATGTTTGTTTCTTTTTAGTTACAGTAACTGATAAACAATATTCTTAAAATTTTGAATAGAAAAAGAAACAGTTGACAGTTTGATGTTACAGTATAAACTTTAATCAGTTTCATGGATTATTATTATCCATAGTAAATAAAAGCTAGACTTTTTATTATTTTTTTTTCTAAAAGGGGGAAAAGTGTAGTGTTTGAATATGCGCAGTGTAATACTAACTGTTTTAGTCTATTGAAGTATTATCAATATAGTAACAATTTTAGGCTAGTGAAGTCTGTTGAATACTCTCTATTGTGAAGGTTTAGCGCCATATTAAAATCAGTAAAAAGTAACAGCGACATTCTAGTTTTTCCTTAATAAAATATAAGAACCCAACACAACAGGGGTAAAATGCAAATTCTGAAAAAACTTAAGGGGTAAAATCTGTCAAAAAGCATTTTGCATTTTTTATAAACAAATTAAACTTATTGTTTTGTTTGTTTGTTTGTTTATTTTCTTTTTTTAGAAAAACCTTTACAAATTAAATACTGATTTCAGGGTTCCCGCTGTCGCTCGCCAATGGCGCCAAATGCGACAAAATATTAATTCTGGCGCATAGAATCTTCAATTGGCGAATTTTACTGGCGCCAACGTAAGATAAAAGCATCCAACAACTAGTACACTTAAATATCATAAGCGGCCTCGTCAATTACATAAGCGGCCCTTATGTGAAAGGTCAGCGCGATTAGTTTTTTTATCAAACTGTATCATCAATTATGTTATCAATTGTGTGACACTTCGGGAACATGACAAGATAAAAGTGTCAATGTGTTAATTGGAACAATTTACGTCTTTAATCCTCTGACTTGGAGCACTGATAATTACACATGTGGTCAAATGGTGTTAGTAGTGAATCAGAGAAATGAAAGATCGTCCGTGATGTTGACAAACATTGAAATTTTAGGTAAGTTGGCTTGTCAACTGATAAGATCTTTACAGTTTAATTACAGTTTGTAATATAAAAATCGGATGACAATTAAAAGAATAATTTCACTAATGATTGATCTAAAGCCACTGTTTACTGCAGCGTTTATATTTTCATATCTGAATGTAAAGTGCTGAAATGTGCTGAAATGTCTAATCTCATGCAAAACCTATTAAAATAAACAATATTCTTCATTGTTAAAAAGTAATTTGTATCTATTTCATTTTTTTTTTGTTCTTTTTAATTTTTAGATGAAGTCAATTTACAGTAATGTTTTTTAGGTTTGTTTGTTTTTTATCTGTAGATCACCAGAATGTCAGATAGAAGCTGGAAAGATCATGGCTCAGTCCAGTCAGTGAGAATGAATAAGTGATAAGAACTGCTATAGGCAAAACGGTGGAAAACAGGACTTCCCAACCTAATAACTAACTTAAAATGATGTTTTTGATTACATTTATGTTGTCATATGTATTTATTCAAATGGAATTTGAAAACCACATAATACTATGTCTATATTTTAGATAATAAACATGTGCAGCTGTAATAAAATGAAACATTATAAATATGTGTTTTTAATCATAATGATATATAACTGTTAGCATATCTTAACAAAGATAGGGATGTCTCCTTTTAAGAATAATTGGCTCTAACTTTGGAGTCATTGGCTCCAACTTTTTCTGCTTGGCGAATTTTGTGGCGCAAACTAATTTTGACCCAGAGGGAACCCTGGATTTAATGTGAAACAATACAAAACATGCCATGTAAAGACAGACTTCCAGAGTATACTGGAACTCAAGTTTAGGATACACAGCAAAATCATCAGGGCTCTGATATTGGAAGTCACATTATATAGGTAAAGAAGGAAAAGTTTTGATTTTCGGAAGTCACAGGCCAAAATGAAGGAGTAAATGACTTCCAAACTTCCACTAGTGGAAGCCCTGAAATTATTTTATTTTCTAGGAGTCAATATTTTTCTTTCTTTATTTCTGTTGGCATGTACCTTATCATGTACTCCAGTTTAAACAATTTAATTGTTTAAACTGGAGTACATGATAAGGTACATGCCAACAGAAATAAAGAAAGAAAAATATTGACTCCTAGAAAATGAATTATAGTTGAAATTAGAATTAAAGAAACATAAACAAGATTTTTTTTATCTTTCCTTAAAAAAAAGTATTGGTCTGAGAGAAAATTGTCCGTAACTGTAGACTGGGTACGAAAATATTGAGTACAAAACTGCAGGTGAAAAACATGTTATTTTGTTCCAACAACAAAAGTTAAAGAAATTAAAATATATTTTTGTTTATATTGAGGCAAAAGCATGTCAATAGACGCCTAAACAAACTTAATACTGTGTTAACTCCTACGATGATTATCTGGCACAAATTTCATCAATAATTTAATAGGTTGATCTACGGGAGTTACCTCCCTTCTGTATTTCATGCTACTTTCGTTTTTAACATGCGTTGTTGACAACAGAATTTTTAGTGAAAGTGATGCGTATTTTAGATTTTCTATGCGTATTTTACGCTTATACGCACGCTATCTGGAGCTCTGCTTTAAACGTCTGTACAGCGTTAACGACTGAATAAAAGATATTGGTGTTCGGATTCATTTTCTTAGTTAAACCATTTTCTTTTATTCTAGATAGTTTTCACAACAAAATTCGACCAAAAATTGTTTTTGTTTATCAGATTTTTCAAACAAAATGGCGCCTTCAACGCGAAAGCTTCCGTTATTTTGGTTCCCTGTCCAATTATGGTCCCCATAGACGTGCGCGGGTGATCAGTCTACACATCCGTTTTCAATCAGAATTCCTCAGTTTTTATCGTTATCTTTAAATTCGAAAAGTTGCGATGTGTCCAATTCGGTACTTCGGACGAAAGTTTTCAAAACCATCACTTAGCAGGTACTCGCGTTACTGTAAAGCTCGCTTTGCGAGCAGGCCCTTCGGGCCAGCTCGTCGAGCTCGCTATTATTTATCCGAAAAGTTGCGATTGTCCGTTATCGGAATATCTCGCCTATTATCATTGAATTACATTAAAAATGGCGCCGCTCTACTAGAACTGACACTGAAAATTTCATTGATAGGCATAAAATTCTATGTATTCTTTGTTTTTTATATAATTTTCTTTTAAATGTACACATGTAGTCTATAGCAGGGCAAGCCAAAGCCCGGGCCAGCTTTGCAAACCCAGCCTTTGACTTCCTCGTATGAATATAGGCAAAGCCTATGAATGGTGAAGTTGATTGAAAAAATCGTTCATTTTTCCATTTTAATTGCTGATTGGGCTTATGACAAAAAAATCAGATTTCTAGAAAAGTAATAAAAAATATTTCTTTTAAACTTTGTTTATTGAGAATTACATGTGACATAAACAGAAAGAAAAATGTTACTGTTGTGAGAATTATTTCTCCTTTTTCATGTTTATAAACACATAATTTTTGGAGTTCTTAAATAATTATTATATGTTATAATGTAAAATTCTTTACATAAATGTGTCCAACAACTTCATTTTGCTGAAGAATTTTGCGCCATTACTTTTATTTTATATATTTGGATTTAATATTCAATTTCTGGCATATATATTTTGACAATTCTTTGACACTGAGGTTTTCTATGAAAACAGAATGAAATGTATGCTGACAGGTGTTAACACAATGGTTTAGAGCATAAATAAGTTATTTAACCTATTTTGTTTTATACTTTGCATATGTAACATGTTTTTTATGGACTTCAAAAATTATGTATTATATAAACATGAAAAAGTGGAAATAATTCTCACAGAAGTGACAGTAACCAAATATTTTTCTTTCTGTTTTGCCATTTGAGCAATAACTCAAAAATTAGGTATGGCAGAGTTATGGTTCTTTTGCACTGTACTTCTACTCAGTAAGATCTATCAACCTACAAAGTGTTAAGTGGATACCTTTTATAGTTCTCAAGTTAAGTCCTGGACAAAGTTCAGTGTGTAAAAATGAGCAAAAGGCAATAACTGCAAAATTAGGAAAGGGATGGTAACGGTTTTTATGTTCTGCACATCTACAGTACTCATTCAGATTAATCTACCTACTACATTTGTACATTCTGAGTTATGTCCCGGACAAGAAATATCTGCAACAGACTAACCAACCGACCACCAGCTGACCCGAGTATACCCCCACAGACTTTCTTTGTGGGGGGTTATAACAACCACAGGGCCAAAATAATTAAGTTCAATTATAACCCAGTAGTCTGTACTCTTCAAACAAATTCTATTCAACTCTGCCTCAATCTCCATGTAGATATATGGTTAAATGTAGACTAGTGCACTTACTTGGATGTATTTCATTTGTTTCAGTACAAGAGGATTCATCAGCAGGTTTCAGCGCAATTTTCATCTGACAGTGCAGGCAATGGGTGCGTATGATGCCGAGTTCAACAATGCTAAAGAAAGACTTAATAACTTGAAGGAGGACCCTGGCAATGTTGTCAAACTCCAGATTTATGCTTTGTTCAAACAGGTGATAATTATTTTAAGTACATGTATTATAAAACTGTTATTAAAAAAAGACATTAAGGAAAGTGCGGGTATTAATTACTTTAGACTTTCTAAGTTTCTATGGAATTAATTCTAAGGACAAAGGTTTAGTAAAATGTATGCTAGTAATAGTATGGTTGGTGCAGGAAGTGTCAATAGACAATACATATTTGAAAATTTACAAACAAGGACGCAATAATCTATATGCTTAAATGTTGCTAACCCCTGTAATATACCGTATTTGTATAGTTTCTTTATACATTGTACTTTCTGTGTAATTTCGGCAACAATTAATCGAAATTCACATGTTGTTGCTGATTTTTCTATCCTTAGGCAACTGTTGGAAAGTGTAATGCACCTAAACCTGGCATGTTGGATGTTGTAGGAAAGTACAAGTGGAATGCATGGAATGATCTAGGGGATATTTCTCAGGTACTTTGTATGCCTTAACTTGAAAACGCTTTCAACCACAATATGATGAATTTATTTCTGCATTCCTTAATTAAGAACGGCCATTAATGATCATTTTTCCAATGTTCCTATTTATGTTTGAAATAATCAGATGGCTTTAAAAGAATTGTTGTAATTTAAACATAACCAAAAGCTATACACATCTGTTTAGTTCTAATTGTGTACAATATTTATATGTGTCAAATAAAAGCATATTCTATGTTACATCCTTGAGAATCTACAGAGATTATGGAAGCAAAGTTATTTTGCCTTTTATAGATCATGTAAACATATTTAAATAAATATAGCTTTATACCTTTAAAATAACATTTAAGGATGAGGCACAGAAGCAGTACATAGAGTTAGTGGACTCGTTGGCTGGAGCGGAGTCCGCTGCATCAGCTGGAGCAGAAGCAACAGGGGACCAGAAGTTTGAAACGCTAGCTGTTTCAAATGCTGGTGGTATTTATAGTATAACACTAAACAGACCAAATAAGAAAAATGCCATTACAGTACAGGTTAGACCTTTTGAATTATATTTTCTTTAAATTATATGTGTCAGGGCAAATTATGATTTACCAGGAACATTTGTTTTGCGTGGTTCTTATTGTTTGAAATTAATTTTTGTTCAATAGAATTGCAGTATTTCAAATGAAATGTAGTGCATTCACTTTCTTAAGCCGGCAAATTATTTATCAGTCTAGTAAATTAACTGTTTATAAAAATAATGTCAAACACTAAATTATTTAGTTTTTATTAGTAAGCATTTACCAAATTAGATAATAGATTGGTTGAATAGCTGTTTTGTAAATACTTACAAATGAACACTTACCTATATTTGGAATTTGTAATTGTTGAAGTAAGATGTAAATAAAATAATCTATCACCCTGAATTTCACATTACAAAGTCATGTTTCATTAATAGAATAATGCAATATCTATTATTGAATGAAATGAAATGCATGGCACTCTATGCATATCATGGTAATAGAGGTTATCTGGAATTCGGCAAAATGGGTTTTTCCCAGCTAATCTGTAGGTACAAACTAACTTTTACTGTTATAGCTTCTTGGTGCACTTCCCATCACAATAGATTAGCCAACCTGTTTCACTTATTTTTGAAGCTATTACTGTAAAAAATTGTTTGTACCTATGTTATTAGCTGGGAAAAACCCAAATATTCTTATTTCTGGAGTAAGTCTTTTGAAAACACACTGCAGTTTCACATGCTGAAGATATTTTAGGAACAAAAAAGATGAGTTAATAATTCTTAGCAAAATTAACACATAACCTATCAAAGAAGGTGAAACATAATTTTTAATAATAATAATATAAAGATTAGCATATTTCATCTACTAGATAAGATTTTCAGATATTGAAATATGTTCTTGCAGATGTATGAAGAGATGATTTCTGCATTAAAAGAAGCAGCAGAAGATAGCACAGTTGTCATAGCAACATTTACAGGTAACAAATTTCATGTAACATTGTACATGTATACTGAAACTGGAAATTTGACTGTTTTATGCAGCAAGTATGAAATTTATTATCAAAAATGAACCCAGAATTATGCTTGTACATATATGTAGAAATACTGAAGAAGTGCTATTTAATACTAGCTCTAAACTGAACACAATTGATATCACATATTATTTGGGCCTGAATCATATAAGCTGAAATTATGGTTGCTGCTTATTGAAAGTCCTAAACTTGTTTCAAAATTTGGTTCAGAAATTATTACTGATGCTGAAAAAGAATGAAACACTTATTATCTCATAACCGTGCCGCTTTTGCGGCTCCATAAAAATGGCAATGCACAACCGTGCATATATTCTGATGTGATGTGATTAAGGCGAGCTAAATGTAAGCGTTATACTACAGGCGCGTCAATCAAAAATGTTTCTTTATCACTTCAAACAGTCTTTATTTTTGGTATGTGATAAATAGAATATTAAATTTGTGAAAGTTTAATACTAAATTTATTGAACTCATTGAATAAAAAATTATTCAACTTGTTCAATAAATTTAGTGTTAAACTTACACTCATTCAAGATCCTCTATATATGTCAGGTATTGATGTTGTTAGAGAATGGTGAATATTTGAGTAGTGGAAATGACTTGGGCAACCTTTTTAGTTCCCTGTTGACCATCACCAAAGTGCTTCTATGGTGATAATATATTTGGATCTTGTTGAGTTAGCCAATATATATAAGTCAGTATTTTATTACAACTATCAGGAGCTGGAGATTTTTACTGTAGTGGAAATGATTTGAGTAACTTTATGAACATCCCTCCAGAAGGAATAGAGGGCATGGCGATAAAAGGTGGTGAACTGTTAGAGTGAGTATTAGTTATATTGCATTCGTAAGAAGATATACTTAATGTATTTAATAATTTAGCAAGATTTTACTTCACATTCAAGACAACTGATTGATGTACAATTATTTTGACATTGATTTGTATTATTACAATCTTAACCATCAGGTGTGTGAGTAACAATAAATTACTTTCTTAAGCAATTAGATTTCAATCATAAAAAGACATTTCTTTATTAACTATTAGAGGATTAGGCACTAAAATTTGATCAGATCTTTAAGAAGGGGCCTCTGTTACCAAGCAGTAAAGATCACCAACTTCAGATCACTTGCCCCTTACCACTGTGGGTCCAAATACCTTGAGGGTCTTTGGATTGTTTCATGTATCCAGCTAGCTTATGGCATGTTGGTGGGTCTAATCAGGCGCCCACCTGTGTCTGAAATGATGTTCTTAGGTCTTCCCCCACCAGTAAAAAGCTTCAAAGTCACAAAATGACCTTTACAATTTTTTTTACAGATGTGACTTAAAACCATGTAAAACAAAGTTTTTCTTTTATACTATGAAAGAGAAGTTGTTGATACATTGATAATATTGTTGCTTGGTACTGGTTGGTTCCAGGAATGGATTTGAGAGCATTTCAATAAGCTTTTAGCTTCCAACCAAACATGTTTTTCTTTTTAATTTTAAGACGTTTTGTAGCAGCTTTTATAGACTTCCCTAAGCCGTTGATAGGTCTTGTGAATGGGCCGGCTGTGGGCGTGTCAGTGACTGTACTCGGTCTGTTTGATGCAGTATATGCAAGTGATAGAGTAAGTAGTATGGTAATTTACACATGTTCTATTGTGTAATAATCTCCCCTGATTGGTGATGAAAAAAGAATTTATTCTGGTGATGTTAATATGTAAGTATCCAGTTAATTTTGCTAAGTCTTGACATTGCAAGATTATTTCATGAAATTATATGAACATACAATCATGTACCTCAGCAAACCTGTATAATGTTACTATACAAAAAATTGGCAGCAAATTGTGGTAGATTTATATATACTTATATTGTAAGCAACTTTGATATATATTTATTGGAATTACAGTGTAATTGTGTGGTATTTTGTTTATTATTTTATTTTATAAATTAGTTTCAAATTCAAATTTTATTTTTAATAATTTAAATAGTGTTACCGTCTGATAATAAAATGGATAAAGCTTTATCAGCAATTGAATGAGCTATTATTTTAAAGTTTTGTATATAAATGGATATTTTTTCCTCTCTACAGGCAACATTCCATACACCTTTCTCCCAGTTAGGCCAGTCACCAGAGGGATGTTCCTCCTACGTCTTCCCTAAACTGATGGGAGCTGCCAAGGCCAGTGAGATGCTCTTGTTTAATAAGAAGATCTCAGCTGCCGAGGCTTTTAATAGAAACCTAGTCACTCAGGTCATACCAGATGATGTGTTTGTTAAAGAGACAACAGCTAAAGTTCAGGCCATTGCTCAATTGCCAAAAGAGGTACACATATATGTTTATGTTTAGATAACAAGTGTTTGCCTTAAGTACATTTTATTACAAAGCTAAAAATCTTGAAAAAAAAAATGTACTTTTAATTAATTCTAAAGCTGCCAGAATGAGCCAATATATTTCAAGAAAATCAGCCTCGAGAAAATTGTACTTGATTTGATGTAAAGTGAAAATATCCATAATTCAAGAAATATTTTGCATGTGTATGTAATAAATGACTGATATTTGCAGTATTTATCACCTTATTCCTACTGTGACAGTTTTCTACTGTGTTACTAATGCAGTAAGGGCTATTTTTGTATATTCTGACCTATTTTGGTATTTTTCCTTGATTTTAAGTGCTGTTTGCAATGTGTTAATTAATTTCTTTGTTCAGGAAACAATACCCTACTTATTAATACATTTAAAAAAAAATCATGAAAACTAGCATGAATCTGGAGGTATGCTGCTTTAATGTTAAATCAGAGTGGTATCCTTATGGTGAATATGTGTACCTTTCAACGTACGGACCAAGACAATGTTTTTGCATGTAACACCACTAATGGTTGGTTCCAGGAAGCAGAATTGAGAGTGGTTCAATTAAGTTTTTAGTTTTCTTAAAACTGTAAGAAATTGTGCCAAATACTATATGACTGAACAAAATGGCATCAAATGTATTTTTTTTCTAGCTTTAGGAAAAAACAATAAGACAGCCCTACTCGACACAGCTTTCGTGCTTGGGTAAAACATGTAGTAAACCCTTGAGAGAATAACCTTAATCCATCGTTCTCCAATGTTAAATGTAAATCTGAGCCGCGTCATGACAAAACCAACATAGTGGGTTTGCGACCAGCATGGATCCAGACCAGCCTGCGCATCCGCGCAGTCTGATCAGGATCCATACTGTTCGCTATCAGTTTCTCTACTTGTAATAAAGTTGGTAAGCGAACAGCATGGATCCTGATCAGACTGCGCGGAGGCGCAGGCTGGTCTGGATCCATGCTTGTCGCAAACCCACTATGTTGGTTTTGTCATGACGCGGCTCATCTATACGTTTTTATTTAGTGACATTAAGTTGATGCATTCTTTTTTATTTCAGAGCATGAGTTTCTCTAAAGTTTTAATTCGTGACGGGGAGAGAGAAAAGTTACACAAAGTGAACAAAGAGGAATGTCGAGTGCTGGTTGGAAGATGGCAATCAAACGAGTGTATGACTGCCATCATGAACTTCTTCCAACAAAAATCCTCCTCAAAGTTGTAGAACGCTGTGATTTCAGAACAATTATTAACTTTAATGAGTTGTGATAGTGAACTGTAAGTTTTTTCACATAAACAGAAATTTATTTATTGTGAACAGGGCTACCTTACAATATGTTGGTGTATTTTTTTTACAAACAGAAACTAATGATCATCGAATTCCTGTCCTAAAATAATATATTTGGATTTGAATTTTTTTCATTACATAATTTATATTGGTAAAGATTACATACTTTTTGTATAATAAATTGAAATTTTTGGAACATTAAATTTGACTCAACGCTGAAAAAATAAATTCATTTTAAACAAAAACGGTCTACTTTGCTGTGACATAGCTCATTATTTATGTGATATATTTTCTTGTATTATATTTATCAAATTTTTCTTTAATTGTGCTAGATGATTTTTTAATGATAAACATATACTTAAGAGTAAATGAGTAAGTTGTATTTGTTAAAAGTGTTTTTTGTCATTGAAGAATATAATTGAGCCGTGTCATGACAAAACCAACATAATGGGTTTGTGACCAGCATGGATCCAGACCAGAAGCATGGATCCAGACCAGCCTGCGCATCCGCGCAGTCTGATCAGGATCCATGCTGTTCGCCTACAGACCCTATAACAAGTAAAGAAACTGATAGCGAACAGCATGGATCCTGATCAGACTGCGCGGATGCGCAGGCTGGTCTGGATCCATGCTGGTCGCAAACCCATTATGTTGGTTTTGTCATGATGCGACTCAATTATGTTTTTATTAAACTGATTCCATATTGGAAAATTGAGAAATTGATTTTTTTTCTATGCAGGTTTTAATTCTCTTCTATTTCTTTTTTTTTCTTCTTTTTTGGGGGGGGGGGTTGCTTGACTGAAGAAATTAGTTTGACAGATAGATAATTAAAGCACATCTTAATATATTCAATGTCGAGTAGTAGCTTTTTGTGTATGCATCTTAATGTTAAATTCTTGATAAATACACCTATGTTGTAACAGAAATTATCATATTAAATCAAATGTATGTACTTTTAATTTATCTGTTATTGAAAATTAGAAATTCTGAAAATTGTCAGATGAGAATATATTTATTATGCAAAGATAATTGCTGTTGTTATTGTTTTAAACATATATTTACACATAAAAGGTTTAAAATATTACTGTAATTCACTGTTTCCTGAAGAGTAATTAGTTATTACATTGATTTTTCTATTGTCTTTATGACATAACCTGTACAAGATATATTATAAATGTTAGTCTTGTTTTACCACATTGACAGAAATTCATCTGGAAAGTCATTTCTTATTAATGTATGATAGAATAAATAGGCTAGGGTATTATTTTGTTGGCAAGGTTAGAGATAAGTCAAATACCATGTATACTGTGCAAGTTTATTGAATGTATGATAAAATTGATATGTTCGCCATTTCTTATTAACGAATGAAAGAATAAATAGTCTAGGGTATTTCAAAAGCAAAGTTAAAGAGGTAACGTCAAATATGTATACTATGTAAGATTATTGAATGAATGATATAATTGATATTTTCACCAGATAAAAAATGGCCCTTTGTCGTGATGAGCCATAAATTGTAGACAGTCGAGGATAATCAGCATATGATCACGTTCTACATCATCCTTTAAAAGTTGACCAACCAAAAGCCTCATTACTGCTGGCTCACTCAGTGCAGTTTCCTCTATAGAACCAGGTTTTGGGGTACCGTTTAACAGCCCATACTTGTTGACAATATCTTGTGTGAACTCCGGGTGATATTCCACATCAAATTTTAGTGGTTGTAACGCCTTTACAATGTGGTCTAGCCTGGCTCTCAGATAGGAATCAAGATCCGGGTCATTGCCAGAACGCTGAACTTCTTTTCTTATCAGCATCCTGATACTTGAAACGCTGTAGCCATAGTAACTGAAATACAATTAAAGATTTTAATTACATTTGTAAATTTGATGTCTTAATGGAAAGGTTTGAGATACTTGTCCTCTATTGCTGAGCTTTTGCAAACGATAGGAAGGTCGATGGTTCTACTAAGGTGCCCGTTCGTGCCTGAAATAATGCATGGAAGTGCATCTTCCTCCACCAGTAAAGCTGGCAATATGACCTATATTGTGTAGGTGTCACGTGAAACCCAATCAAGCAAATGATAGGATTATCTGAACATTGAATGTGTATGTAAATAACGAAAATGTTAAAAAAAGTCCAAAACTATGAGCAGTGAATTAAAAGTAAATTAGGTGCCAAAAATAGTTGACTGAAATATATATATATATAATGTTTAGAGCAAGTTCGATGCTTTATCATGTTAAGAAAATAGCGATGAATGTGAAATAATGTATCCCAAAATAACACAAAAAAAAAACAAGAACAACAAAACAGAGACTTAATAATTATATTACAGATTTAAATATAGCTCTGTGAAAAAATTAGTTTGCTAAAACGCATACAAAGAGTTACTTTGTCTTTCTTACAAAATTCTAAAGAACGTGTCTAATGGCCAGAAACTGTAACTGGACACAAAAGATAAGAAGCTTTTTATAAATAATAAATATAGCACTTTAAGCAATCTGACTAAAAGTTCAGAGCTACTTATTTTTTACATGTTGGGCGTTACTGAAGTATTCAGCAGATTGCATTTTGGGGGAATGCACGTACCATATTTTAATAAACTATCTGAGTTTTACAATCTTCGTGATTATTTAAACATACCGTGATCGCCTTTTGTTGTTTTGCTTGTCATCTGTCACTGAGAAGACATATTCGAGAATTCGTCGGTCAAGTTGAAACGCTATTTCTCCTATAATACGCATATTTGGTTTGGACATTGACATATTGCTGAAAATTCCTTTAGGAATACGCGGATAGTAACCTATAAGGACATCTAGTGGACGATGAAGCACATATATGGCTGAAATAGAACGAATATATACATTGTATTATAAACAACAAAAACCAAAAACGCCATTCTACGGAACTTGTCATTCAAGATGTACTTAACATGTGAGCTGTGATATAAACTCGTGGAATACTAGTAGTTCTTAATTTGTTCATACGAAAAAAATATTAACATTTTTTCTTGGGGGTGGAAGTGGGGGGGGGGTCTCTATGTGGAGTAGGTTTTAAAACGCAAGTAATGTCCCATCAACACTACGTAGAGTACGTAGAGGTCATATGGCGACTTTCCCGTTTAATTAACTTTAGGAAGACCTCAGATGCCCTCTGTGCATTACTATTTCAGGCACGTAAGCTAGCCGGACTTAATTCCTGACATTTTTTTTCGAAATCAAAGTCCCGGATACATTTAAAAAGAAAACACTAGCTCATGAGCTATTTTTCGACAAACATTATGTAAATGGATTAACAAAAAGTAAAGCAGCTAAAAAGTTATATTATATCAGTTATAGTAGATTATAATAAAGTGAACATCAATAGCATCAAACAATGTTATATCAGTGATAGTAGATTATAATAAAGTGAACATTAGTAGCATCCAAAGTGAAAGGCAAACGGTAAAATAGAACGGAAATTTCATGTCAACAGGTACAAAAAAGTTCAAATACTTATAAAATGGTATTACAGTCATGATTCATTTTAGTTTACACATAATAACTGATGCAGTTTTCTCGACGCTGTCAATTTGCGGGAGAAAAAAACAACAACACCATCGGTCAAGAAGGCTCTGAAACATAGACATTATGGTTATACCATAGTCGCCCTTTGGGTGTAAGGGTTATACATTTAACACTACCCGATCGTTGTGACATGTATCACCCTTACAGTTATACATGTCACGAGCCGGCAATTCCGATCGGGTAATATTTAGTATTTGTCTATTCACAGAGCCTTGCTTGACCGATACTGTACTTACTCTATTTGTCAAAGCGTGTTATATATTGTCCTTATGTTCATTTAACAATCTAAATGTTCTTAAATTTGAATATTGTAAAGTATGTTAACTATATTAGCTCATGGTATTTTTTGTTTAACTAGCTTAATATTTAAATATATATTATTATGTTGGCAACAAATATGCGTTAAAAGATTTCGTAACCAAATTTACTTGCATTAAAAATACATGATTATTGGTGAACTAATTTTATATAATGTTAACTGCACAAAATAGGCCGACATAAAATTGAACAAATAGATACTTAAAAAAAATAGATAGTATAGATATTATAGTGTATATGGTGAAATATCTACAGTATATACCACGGATTTACATGTATATTACAATTAAGATCCGTGTGTATAATTACTGACTGAAGTAAATGTGGTTAATTTTCCATATTGGTTTTTAAAATTAAAAACCCAAATATTTACGTGAAGGTAACATCAAATATTTCGGGGGGGGGGGGGGGGGCAAAGCTTCATTTGTACTTATACTTATAAGCCATCGGATGATTTGTTGTACATGTATTATGCTATAGTGGCATATCTATAAACATATCAAAATCTAGTTTATATGCTATAAAGAATTTTTTGGGCGTCCTACACTATAGTTTAATGAACAATAAAAAAAAAGCGCACGATTTTCGAAGAATACTTAAAAAAGACAAATGTTAAATGGCAAAAAAGCGTCTATTAATAACAATTAGTGTATACCTTTTTCAAGAGCGCCTGGACCTTTGATCCCCATGATGTAAGCTAGTGAGTCGCTTGAAAGGATGTTTGCTAGAAAAATAGAAACATTTCCAATATATTTCTCAGATACCTTTTTCAATTGTAAGGATAACAGAAAAGGCAAGTAATACATGTATCTCTTACTGAGCTTCTTTAGTTAAATAGTTACAAGAGCTGTCCATGAGATAGTGCGCTCGACTATTCTCAAAGTTTGGCAGAAACTTTCAGTGGTATCTTTTGAAGTTTAAAAATTTAGTAATAGCCAACTACAGCACACATGTATATGCTACATAGTAAACAGTAATCAATAACTTTTGAAATGTCTTGTAAATTATTGTAATTTGTAAAGTTTGGATGAGATGTTTTGTGATTGCTTGTGCGTGCTATATTCAGAATGCATATATATTTTTCATATATTTTCACCATGTAGCTACGGTAACTTATAGTACGTTTATATTGTCTACACATTAATTAAAATCAAGTAGGGTATTTCAAATTCTACTTGAAAGACCCTGAATCAAGTAAGGCAATAAATAAATTCACCTTGGCTTTGGATATCATGGTGTGGTTTATTTGCTGGTAAAGGTGTAGAGGATGCCTGCGGTGTACCTATATCTTCCGGTCTGTCTACACAGGTGCCAGAACTATTTACATGTACCGGTACTTGTGTAGGTTTGCTACTTTTGGAAGAGCTGTCTAATAATAATTAAGATCCGTGTGTATAATTACTGACTGAAGTAAATGTGGTCAATTGTCCATATTGGTTTTTAAAATTAAAAACCCAAATATTGACGTGAAGGTAACATCAAATATTTTCTGGGGGAGGGGGCAGGGGGGGGGGGCAAAGCTTCATTTGTACTTACTTAAAAGGCATCGGATGATTTGTTGTACATGTATTATGCTATAGTGGCATATCTATAAACATATCAAAATCTAGTTTGTATGCTATAAAGAATTTTTTGGGCGTCCTACACTATAGTTTAATTAACAATTAAAAAAAGCGCACGATGTTTTCGAAGAATACTTAAAAAAGCCAAATGTTAAATGGCAAAAAGCGTTAATTTATAACAATTAGTGTATACCTTTTTCAAGAGCGCCTGGACCTTTGATCCCCATGATGTAAGCTAGTGAATCGCTTGAAAGGATGTTTGCTAGAAAAATAGAAACACTTCCAATATATTTCTCAGAAACCTTGTTAAAATGTAAGGATAACAGTAAAGGCAAGTAATATCTCTTATTGAACTTCTTTAGTTATAATAGTTACAGGAGCTCTCCATGAGATAGTGCGCTCGAAAGTTTGGCAGCAAGAAAAGGGACATAACTTTGTAAAAAAGTAACTCATAGTTATGGGACTTAATATTATGTCCATCATGTAAGATAATCATAATCACAGAGAAAAAGTGACTGAAACTACAGCGGTGACAGACAAGTGGTTTGAAGTCAACGACCTTAACCATTCGGTCACGGCTCAATCCTCAACAAGTAAAAGTACATTGTAATGGAATCAATGATCTCGAAGGAAACTATTACAGATCAAGAAACGACAACATTTTACAGCTGTCAGTTTTAGTTTTTATAACAGACATTAACCGACATAATACCCAGTGGTATCTTTTGAAGTTTTAAAATTTAAGGATAGCCAACTACAGCACACATGTATATGCTACATAGTGAACAGTAATCAATAACTTTTGAAATGTCTTGTAAATTATTTCTAAGTTTGGATGAGATGTTTTGTGATTGCTTGTGCGTGCTATATTCAGAATGCTAATATAGTTTTCATATATTTTCACCATGAAGCTACGGTAACTTATAGTACGTTTATATTGTCTACACATTAATTAAAATCAAGTAGGGTATTTCAAATTCTAAAAAGACCCTGAATCAAGTAAGGCAATAAATAAATTCACCTTGGCTTTGGATATCATGGTGTGGTTTATTTGCTGGTAAAGGTGTAGAGGATGCCTGCGGTGTACCTATATCTTCCGGTCTGTCTACACAGGTGCCAGAACTGTTTACATGTACCGGTACTTGTGTAGGTTTGCTACTTTTGGAAGAGCTGTCTTCAACATGGTTTAGGTCACTACGCACAGACTTTCTGTCCAAATCAGTCCTGCCATGAAGTTCCGACAATGTCATGTCTTCATCTCGAAAAGATGGCCGTGTGCTTCGATTATGGTCTTCTTGGGCCATGGCCGATGTATCTGGATTACCTTTGACATTTTCTGTTTGAAGAGTGTTGTCCGATAACTCCTGAGGTGTACGAGTCAAGTTTACGGACTTTGCCAAATGACGTCTTATCTTCCTGTCTGTAGGAATTTGCGGCTGATTGGACTGGTTTTCATTGTACAGACCATCTTGAGCATCATACAATAAGTGCTGGGCTGTTTGATAATCGCTGACCGGTGATCGGTTATATTTTACACTCCTGAGCTGAGGTTTTGCATCTATAAACACGGGCAGCGATTCGTTGTTTGAAGAGGAGTTGATGGTAGTGCTGTCTTTTTCGGGCCTTGCGTGGTGAAGGCTGCAAAAACGTAAAGAACAGTCTCTGCATGGCTGTCTGCTTTTGACTTGTGAAAAAGCACTGTTTTCATTTACTTTGAATTGTCCATTGTCAAAAACAAGCCTCTTTATCGGTGGAGCACTGCTTGCACGTTTGTTAATACTTTTATCATACGTTACCTCGCCTAGAAGACTGTTAGAATCCCTTGAATACTTGCCGCTTTTGCTTTCAATAGATTTTGATCTTGACTGCAAAGACTGTTGACCTTGCCCTTGTTGTAAATTAGAATCATTGAACTTTGTAGAGAACGAATGTCCGGTCGGAGACCTATCTGGTGACTTGCTATATAGGCTTTTCCCAACACCGAATCTCATTGGCGGGCGAATTGACCTTGACGGCGACACTGGAGAATGACTTCTACCAGGAGACTTCATATAACTGTTATCATAACTTCTGTAGCTATGACTTTGTAGATCATTTAGATCTATGTTTTGAAACGACATTCCATAGCTGGTAGACGCATCATTTGGCTGTTGTAACAGCTGGGGAGCATCGGATTGTGCCTTAAAGTCTATCGCTTCTAGATTTATACGTGGATCTAATATCTTTTCTGCAAAAATAGACATATTTTTCTTTAGATTCGATATTTCCAATTAATAACGATTTATTTTATTAAGTCCAGCTCGGACGTTTGCGTAGTTAAATCAAAACATCTTAGTTTGAATGTGGTTTACCTTTATTTCTTATCATATTTCGAATACACCTGGATGACTGATTAGTCAGAATTGATTACATTTAACTTTAAAGCGGCTATCCTCCAGGATTAATGCGTATTTTCGTGAAAAATTTAAAAATGTATTTAAAAGTATAATATTGTAAAGTAACCAAAAGGAAGCAATTTACACATCATAAATGGCACTTACAACCCATGTAAGTTACCATTTGAAATGAAGTAAAATATGCAAAAATAGTCTTAAATGCGTAAGTAACGCAGTAGAAATAAAGTTATAAATATTGGAAAATCAGTCATTAATCGCACACAACATGTTAATTATTGATTGAATCTTTTTACTTTTCCCAAAATCTTTGTTAGATTTTATTGAAATATTTTGGCACACCTGGAGGCATATGCTGCTTTAAGAAAGGTAACTATGTATTATAATTGTAAAATCAATAATGTAACAGTAATTACAAAAATCATTATTGAAATGAACTTTTATATTACAATTATAGTATGATTTAAAATGTGACCGGACTGATATCAACCCTTTCACTGCCATAGGGACGGCATATGCCGTCCCTATTATTTTCGGCGTATTTGCTATATGAATGGCTTTTGCCGTTTCTATAATAATAATAATAAATATGTATATATAATTATACAATCGACAATAATTATTATATACTAGCAGATTTGGAAACATATATAATTATTATAATAGTAATAACAAATAATAATAATTATATTAATTAATAATATATTAATTTCTTAGAAAACCTTCTGGCAAATAGGTGATCAATTAATTAAATAACCCTCTGGCAGCGAAAGGGTTAAGGAAAAATTGTAAAATTGTTAATATATCCGCTAAATGCCTCCGCATTGCAAAATAGAATGCTATATTCGAGGACAGACGGGTTGGCTAATTTCCCACTACTACACGTTTAGCATTAGTAGCCATAGAAAATCGTCCGGTTTTCGGAATTCAGAGGTTTCGGTATATACAGGATATTTTTTCAATGAACTTAAAAGGAAAAAATACAGGATTTTTAAAATCGTCCGGTTTTCAGGGGATCCGGTATTGAGAGTTTTACTGTATGTTAATAATATAATTATCCTTAAAATTCAATTCTGATAATATCCAGTTGCCCCAGTCTAAGAATGTATCACTGGACATTTGCCCCCAGTGGACATGGAAATCTGCTCCCCCTATCCCCTTCCCCCAACCTCATTTCATTTAGTCGAAATTTAATGTTGGTGGACATTTTCTAACAGGATTGAATATATTTTTTTTTACATTTGCTAAATGCATGTCAAATGCAGAACTAAGCTGATATATGTTTCAATAATAACGTATTACTTATTAGCTTTATTTTCACGTTACTTTCTTTGTTTATAACATCAAACACTTCTAAAGGGCAACTGTTGTTTTTTTTTCATTGCCCTTAATTTCTCATATAAAGATGATCATAATCACCTAACTATGTTACTACCAGTCTGAGGGTATGTTAAGCATGCATAATGTAATAATCTAATTTTATTAAGGATACTATTAAATGCCCGGTGTAATTGATTGGTTAAATTGTCACATATACTGGAGAGAAAAAAAAAACATAATAAACGTTTGGTAATTTTACCTTTGCCACGCCACATTTCTTAAATGAACTTCGAATTGAAAATTGATCAATAGAGCAAAATCTACCTGTCATAAATTGCCTTAATCTATCGTCAGACATCGACAACACAGATGCCAGAACATTAGCTGTCTTTAAGCTTGAGTTCTTCATGAACAGAACCATACAACGGCGCAGCTTTCGATTCTCTATGCGTAGCTGAAGATTTTTGTCGCTAATAATGTGAGAGAAAGACCGATCATTGTTCCTACTAGGAGGTCTCTGGTCCTTATTCTCTGATGCCATTTCCTGTTGAAGAGTTACTGAGCGAAGTGCGTCCAGCGGAAGTGTAGAAATATTACGATTTGTCGACATTTTAAAGAAATTTATGCCGGAATAAAGAAAATGTCGCGATCACCTCCTGTACCGCAACTTCCGACAAAGGACGTCACATAGCAACGACGTCTTTTATAGAAAGCGCCAAAGAAATCTCGCGTTACATAGCGTTGTTATCCCTCATGAAAATGTCAAAGTCTTTTATTCTATAATAAGTTCAATGAAAACAAACGTTTTTCTTTAGCTTTCGACGTTTAATCTTCTTCAGAAAAAAAAACTTTTAAAAGCCTTTTATTCGAACCAAACTTGAATAGGCGCATAGTCTTTCACCAACTGGTCATCACACACGCTGGCGCAGACAAACATACACAATTTAAAGAAATGGTTCAAATGGTTCAATCATATACTTTTATTACAGATTAAATATAGTTTTTTGTCATTGAAGAATATAATTGAGCCGTGTCATGACAAAACCAACATAATGGGTATGTGACCAGCATGGATCCAGACCAGAAGCATGGATCCAGACCAGCCTGCGCATCCGCGCAGTCTGATCAGGATCAATGCTGTTCGCTTACAGACCCTATAACAAGTAAAGAAACTGATAGCGAACAGCATGGATCCTGATCAGACTGCGCGGATGCGCAGGCTGGTCTGGATCCATGCTGGTCGCAAACCCATTATGTTGGTTTTGTCATGATGCGGCTCAATTATGTTTTTATTAAACTGATTCCATATTGGAAAATTGAGAAATTGATGTTTTTCTATGCAGGTTTTAATTCTCTTCTATTTCTTTTTTTTTTTCTTCTTTTTTTTTTTGGGGGGGGTTGCTTCACTGAAGAAATTAGTTTGACAGATAGATAATTAAAGCACATCTTAATATATTCAATGTCGAGTAGTAGCTTTTTGTGTATGCATCTTAATGTTAAATTCTTGATAAATACACCTATGTTGTAACAGAAATTATCATATTAAATCAAATGTATGTTTGTATGTACTTTTAATTTATCTGTTAATGAAAATTAGAAATTCTGAAAATTGTCAGATGAGAATATGTTTATTATGCAAAGATAATTGCTGTTCTTATTGTTTTAAACATATATTTACACATAAAAGGTTTAAAATATTACTGTAATACACTGTTTCCTGAAGAGTAATTAGTTATTACATTGATTTTTCTATTGTCTTTATGACAAAACCTGTACAAGATATATTATAAATGTTAGTCTTGTTTTACCACATTGACAGAAATTCATCTGGAAAGTCATTTCTTATTAATGAATGATAGAATAAATAGGCTAGGGTATTATTTTGTTGGCAAGGTTAGAGATAAGTCAAATACCATGTATACTGTGCAAGTTTATTGAATGTATGATAAAATTGATATGTTCGCCATTTCTTATTAACGAATGAAAGAATAAATAGTCTAGGGTATTTCAAAAGCAAAGTTAAAGAGGTAACGTCAAATATGTATACTATGTAAGATTATTGAATGAATGATATAATTGATATTTTCACCAGATAAAAAATGGCCCTTTGTCGTGATGAGCCATAAATTGTAGACAGTCGAGGATAATCAGCATATGATCACGTTCTACATCATCCTTTAAAAGTTGACCAACCAAAAGCCTCATTACTGCTGGCTCACTCAGTGCAGTTTCCTCTATAGTACCAGGTTTTGGGGTACCGTTTAACAGCCCATACTTGTTGACAATATTTTGTGTGAACTCCGGGTGATATTCCACATCAAATTTTAGTGGTTGTAACGCCTTTACAATGTGGTCTAGCCTGGCTCTCAGATAGGAATCAAGATCCGGGTCATTGCCAGAACGCTGAACTTCTTTTCTTATCAGCATCCTGATACTTGAAACGCTGTAGCCATAGTAACTGAAATACAATTAAAGATTTTAATTACATTTGTAAATTTGATGCTTTAATGGAAAGGGTTGATATACTATTCGTCTATTGTTGAGCTTTTGCAATCGATAGGAACGTGGTTGGTTCTACTCAGGTGCCCGTTTGTGCCTGTGCATGGAAGTGCATCTTCCTCCACCAGTAAAGCTGGCAATATGACCTATATTGTGTAGGTGTCACGTGAAACCCAATCAAGCAAATGATAGGATTATCTGAACATTGAATGTGTATGTAAATAACGAAAATGTAAAAAAAGTCCTCAACTATGAGCAGTGAATTAAAAGTAAATTAGGTGCCAAAAATAGTTGACTGACATATATATATATAATGTTTAGAGCATGTTCGATGCTTTATCATGTTAAGAAAATAGCGATGAATGTGAAATAATGTATCCCAAAATAACACAAAAAACAAGAACAACAAAACAGAGACTTAATATTTATATTACAGATTTAAATATAGCTTTGTGAAAAAATTAGTTTGCTAAAACGCATACAAAGAGTTACTTTGTCTTTCTTACAAAATTCTAAAGAACGTGTCTAATGGCCAGAAACTGTAACTGAACACAAAAGATAAGAAGCTTTTTATAAATAATAAATATAGCACTTTAAGCAATCTGACTAAAAGTTCAGAGCTACTTATTTTTTACATGTTGGGCGTTACTGGATTATTTAGCAGATTGCATTTTGGGGGAATGCACGTACCATATTTTAATAAACTATCTGAGTTTTACAATCTTCGTGATTATTTAAACATACCGTGATCGCCTTTTGTTGTTTTGCTTGTCATCTGTCACTGAGAAGACATATTCGAGAATTCGTCGGTCAAGTTGAAACGCTATTTCTCCTATAATACGCATATTTGGTTTGGACATTGACAGATTGCTGAAAATTCCTTTAGGAATACGCGGATAGTAACCTATAAGGACATCTAGTGGACGATGAAGCACATATATGGCTGAAATAGAACGAATAAATACATTGTATTATAAACAACAAAAACGCCAAACTACGGAACTTGTCATTGAAGATGTACTTAACATTTGAGCTGTGATATAAACTCTTGGAATAGTTCTAGAATGTTCATACCAAAATGGTAGGGGAAACAAATATTAATTTTTTTTCTTTTGGGGGGGGGGGGATGCTGAGTAGGTTTTAAAACACATGTACTGTTCCATCAACACTGAAGAGGTAATATGGCGACTTTCCCGCTTAATTAACTTTAAATAACTGGTAGAAGAAGACCTCAGATGCCCTCTGTGCATTACTATTTCAGGAACGTGGAGATACTAAGTCATGGCCACGAGATATATATGTCGTGGCCACGAGATACTATGTCGTGGCCACGAGATAAATAAGTCGTGGGAACGAGTTACTATGTCATGGCCACGAGTTACTAAGTCTTGGCCACGAGATAGTTAAGTCGTGGGAACGAGATACTATGTCGTGGCCACGAGTAACTAAGTCGTGGCCACGAGATAGTTAAGTGGTGCGCACGAGATAAATAACCTATCAGATTACACTATTTATATGAATTTTCATAATTAACTAGACATGTGCTATAGTACAAGGCTGCCCATACTTCACCTGTCTGTAAAAGTGTCATTTATACAAGTTATTGATTGGTCAATGATTTCACATTTAGCGTCATTGTGACCCTGATTTTGATCCAATGGCCTCAAAATTATTAGGTGTCATCTACAGATATTTCTAGGTTATACGGATCATGGCTTATTCCTTCTAAATCATTCATCAGACATTTTACATGAAGTGTCATGTTTACCTTGACCTCAAACATCCTAATAGGCTATCTACTGTACATGGGCAATGTCCCTACCAAATAAAATAAACCAGGACTAATTCCTTCTCAAGTTATCGTATAAACAAGGTTAACAGGCCGTTGTACGTACAAACTGACCAATTCTATCATAGAATTGTCCCCACAAAGGGCTATAACTTAGTCAAAATTAATGTCTGATTTATGGGCCTTAGAAGGTGACTTTCTAATATGATCCTAAAGACATGTATCAAGTTTAAAGTGAACACTACAGTATTTTCAAAGATTAATGTTGCATGTAAAACTTTAAACAGAAATTTTTCTAAGTTTAAAAAATTCATAGTGTAATCTGATTGGTTAATTATCTCGTGCGCACGACTTAGTTATCTCGTTCCCACTACTTGGTTACTCGTGGCCACGACAAAGTATCTCGTGGCTACGACAAAGTATCTCGTTCCCATGACTCAACTATCTCGTGGCCACGACTTAACTATATTGTGGCCACGACATAGTATCTCGTTCTCATGACTTAACTATCTCGTGGCAACGACTTTGTAACTCGTGGCCGCGACTTTGTAACTCGTGGCCACGACATAGTAGTTCGTGCGCACGAGATAAATAAAAACACACACATGTCACCTTTGTGCCGCCGTAAGTTATAACTTCCCAGTGAAAAAGTTTTATTAAAGATAAACACAGTCACTGGCAGTGGAAAAAATTCAAACTTGACGATATTTATTGAAAAGACCAATACCGTACGACAAGAAAATAGAACTTGAGTGGAATGATAGTCCGTAAGGGACTAATATCACAAGGTATTACAATGTGAACATCAATAGCACCCGAAATGAAAGGCAACAGAAATTTCATTAATATTATAATCAACAGATTACAGTCCCGATTCATATTAGTTTACGCAAATGAATCTAGTTTACGCGTTAATTTAACTGATTCCAACAAACGCAACCAGTTTTCTCGACGCTGTCAGTTTGGAAGAAAAAACAACACCAACGGCCAAGCAAGGCTCTGAAATAGACATTATGGTTATACCATAGTCGCCCTTTGGGTGTAAGGGTTGTATATTAACACCACCCGACCGGTGTGACATGTACCACCCTTACAGCCATACATGTCACGAGCCGGCTATTCCGACCAGGTGACATTTAGTATTTGTCTATTTACAGGGCCTTGCTTGACCACTTATGTATTAAATAATTTGTTCAAAGCGTGTTATATATTGTCGTTATGTTCATTTAACAATCTAAATGTTGTTATATTTGAATATTGTAAAGCATATTATCTATAATAGTTCATGGTGTTTTTTGTTTAACTAGCTTGATATTTAAATATATATGGTGTTGGCAACAAATATGCATTAAAAGATTTCATAACCAAAATTCCCTGCATTAAAAATACATGGTTATTGTTTGGTGAACTAATTTTAAATTATGATATGTTTGCTGAATATACTCAAAATAGGCGGAGATAAGAATTGAATGAAATAGCAAAATGCATATCTATAAACATGAATGCGATAGTGATTCATATATCAAAATCTAGTTCACACATATGAGGCTATATGCAATAAAAATATTGGATATCCTGCATTGTAGTTTAATTAACAATTTTAAAAAATCGCAGTTTTTTCAAAGAATACAAATGTACATAAGAAACGCCAAATGTTAAATGGCAAAAAAGCGTCTATTAATAACAATTAGTGTATACCTTTTTCAAGAGCGCCTGGACCTTTGATCCCCATGATGTAAGCTAGTGAATCGCTTGAAAGGATGTTGGCTAGAAAAATAGAAACACTTCCAATATACATTGTATTTCTCAGAAACCTTGTTAAAATGTAAGGATAACAGTAAAGGCAAATAATATCTCTTACTGAACTTCTTTAGTTATAAAAGTTACAAGAGCTGTCCATGAGATAATGAGCTCGACTATTCTCAAAGCTTGGCAGAAAGAAAAGGGACATAACTTTGTAAAAAAGGTAAGTCATAGTTATGGGACTTATGTCCATCATATAAGATAATTTTAATCATAGAGAATAGGTGACTGAAGCTACAGCGGTGACAGACAAGTGGTTTGAAGTCAACGACCTTAACCACTCGGCCACGGCTCAATCCTCAATTAACAAGTAAAAGTAATGGAATAAATGATTTCGAAGGAAACTATTACAGATAAAGAAACGACAACATTTTACAGCTGTCAGTTTTAGTTTTTATAACAGACATTAACCGTCATAATACACAGTGGTATCTTTTCAAGTTTAAAAAATTAAGGATAGCTACAGCACACATGTATATGCTACATAGTGAACAGTAATCAATAACTTTTGAAATGTCTTGTAAATTATTTCTAAGTTTGGATGAGATGTTTTGTGATTGCTTGTGCGTGCTAAATTCAGAATGCTAATATATTTTTCATATATTTTCACCATGAAGCTACGGTAACTTTTAGTACGTTTATATTGTCTACACATTAATTAAAATCAAGTAGGGTATTTCAAATTCTAAAAAGACCCTGAATCAAGTAAGGCAATAAATAAATTCACCTTGGCTTTGGATATCATGGTGTGGTTTATTTGCTGGTAAAGGTGTAGAGGATGCCTGCGGTGTACCTATATCTTCCGGTCTGTCTACACAGGTGCCAGAACTATTTACATGTACCGGTACTTGTGTAGGTTTGCTACTTTTGGAAGAGCTGTCTTCAACATGGTTTAGGTCACTACGCACAGACTTTCTGTCCAAATCAGTCCTGCCATGAAGTTCCGACAATGTCATGTCTTCATCTCGAAAAGATGGCTGTGTGCTTCGATTATGGTCTTCTTGGGCCATGGCCGATGTATCCGGATTACCTTTGACATTTTCTGTTTGAAGAGTGTTGTCCGATAACTCCTGAGGTGTACGAGTCAAGTTTACGGACTTTGCCAAATGACGTTTTATCTTCCTGTCTGTAGGAATTTGCGGCTGATTGGACTGGTTTTCATTGTACAGACCATCTTGAGCATCATACAATAAGTGCTGGGCTGTTTGATAATCGCTGACCGGTGATCGGTTATATTTTACACTCCTGAGCTGAGGTTTTGCATCTATAAACACGGGCAGCGATTCGTTGTTTGAAGAGGAGTTGATGGCAGTGCTGTCTTTTTCGGGCCTTGCGTGGTTAAGGCTGCAAATACGTAAAGAACAGTCTCTGCATGGCTGTCTGCTTTTGACTTGTGAGAAAGCACTGTTTTCATTTACTTTGAATTGTCCATTGTCAAAAACAAGCCTCTTTATCGGTGGAGCACTGCTTGCACGTTTGTTAATACTTTTATCATACGTTACCTCGCCTAGAAGACTGTTAGAATCCCTTGAATACTTGCCGCTTTTGCTTTCAATAGATTTTGATCTTGACTGCAAAGACTGTTGACCTTGCCCTTGTTCTATAGTAGAATTATTGAACTTTGTAGAGAATGAATGTCCGGTCGGAGACCTATCTGGTGACTTGCTATATGGGCTTTTCCCAACACCGAATCTCATTGGCGGGCGAATTGACCTTGACGGCGACACTGGAGAATGACTTCTACGAGTAGACTTCATATAACTGTCATCATAACTTCTGTAGCTATGACTTTGTAGATCATTTAGATCTATGTTTTGAAACGACATTCCATAGCTGGTAGACGCATCATTTGGCTGTTGTAACAGCTGGGGAGCATCGGATTGTGCCTTAAAGTCTATTGCTTCTAGATTTATACGTGGATCTAATATCTTTTCTGCAAAAATAGACATATTTTTCTTTAGATTCGATATTTCCAATTAATAACGATTTATTTTATTAAGTCCAGCTCGGACGTTTGCGTAGTTAAATCAAAACATCTTAGTTTGAATGTGGTTTACCTTTATTTCTTATCATATTTCGAATACACCTGGATGACTGATTAGTCAGAATTGATTACATTTAACTTTAAAGCGGCTATCCTCCAGGATTAATGCGTATTTTCGTGAAAAATTTAAAAATGTATTTAAAAGTATAATATTGTAAAGTAACCAAAAGGAAGCAATTTACACATCATAAATGGCACTTACAACCCATGTAAGTTACCAAAATGAAGTAAAATATGCAAAAATAGTCTTAAATGCGTAAGTAACGCAGTAGAAATAAAGTTATAAATATTGGAAAATCAGTCATTAATCGCACACAACATGTTAATTATTGATTGAATCTTTTTACTTTTCCCAAAATCTTTGTTAGATTTTATTGAAATAGTTTGGCTCATCTGGAGGCATATGCTGCTTTAAGAAAGGTAACTAAGTATTATAATTGTAAAATCAATTACGTAACAGTAATTACAAAAATCATTATTTAAATTTTGAAATGAACTTTTATATTACAATTATAGTATGATTTAAAATGTGACCGGACTGATATCAACCCTTTCACTGCCATAGGGACGGCATATGCCGTCCCTATTATTTTCGGCGTATTTGCCATATGAATGGCTTTTGCCGTTTCTATAATAATAATAATAATAATAATAATAAATATGTGTAAATATAATTATACAATCGACAATAATTATTACATACTAGCAGATTTGGAAACATATATAATTATTATAATAGTAATAACAAATAATAATAATTATATTAATTAATAATATATTAATTTCTTAGAAAACCTTCTGGCAAATAGGTGATCAATTAATTAAATAACCCTCTGGCAGCGAAAGGGTTAAGGAAAAATTGTAAAATTGTTAATATATCCGCTAAATGCCTCCGCATTGCAAAATAGAATGCTGTATTCGAGGACAGACGGGTTGGCTAATTTCCCACTACTACACGTTTAGCATTAGTAGCCATAGAAAATCGTCCGGTTTTCGGAATTCAGAGGTTTCGGTATATACAGGATATTTTTTCAATGAACTTAAAAGGAAAAAATACAGGATTTTTAAAATCGTCCGCGTTTTCAGGGATCGGTATTTGAGAGTTTACTGTATATTAATAATATAATTATCCTTAAAATTCAATTCTGATAATATCCAGTTGCCCCAGTCTAAGACTGTATCACTGGACATTTGCCCCCAGTGGACATGGAAATCTGCTCCCCCTATCCCCTTACCCCAACCTCATTTCATTAATTAGTCGAAATTTAATGTTGGTGGACATTTTCTAACAGGATTGAATATATTTTTTTTTACATTTGCTAAATGCATGTCAAATGCAGAACTAAGCTGATATATGTTTCAATAATAACGTATTACTTATTAGCTTTATTTTCACGTTACTTTCTTTGTTTATAACATCAAACACTTCTAAAGGGCAACTGTTGTTTTTTTCATTGCCCTTAATTTCTCATATAAAGATGATCATAACCACCTAACTATGTTACTACCAGTCTGAGGGTATGTTAAGCATGCATAATGTAATAATCTAATTTTATTATGGATACTATTAAATGTCCGGTGTAATTGATTGGTTAAATTGTCACATATACTGGAGAGAAAAAAAAACATAATAAACGTTTGGTAATTTTACCCTTGCCACGCCACATTTCTTAAATGAACTTCGAATTGAAAATTGATAAATAGAGCAAAATCTACCTGTCATAAATTGCCTTAATCTATTGTCAGACATCGACAACACAGATGCCAGAACATTAGCTGTCTTTAAGCTTGAGTTCTCCATGAACAGAGCCATACAACGGCGCAGCTTTCTATTCTCTACGCGTAGCTGAAGATTTTTGTCGCTAATAATGTGAGAGAAAGACCGATCATTGTTCCTACTAGGAGGTCTCTGGTCCTTATTCTCTGATGCCATTTCCTGTTGAAGAGTAACTGAGCGAAGTGCGTCCAGCGGAAGTGTAGAAATATTACGATTTGTCGACATTTTAAAGAAATTTATGCCGGAATAAAGAAAATGTTGCGATCACCTCCTGTACCGCAACTTCCGACAAAGGACGTCACATAGCAACGACGTCATTTATAGAAAGCGCCAAAGAAATCTCGCGTTACATAGCGTTGTTATCCCTCATGAAAATGTCAAAGACTTTTATTCTATAATAAGTTCAATGAAAACAAACGTTTTTCTTTAGCTTTCGACGTTTAATCTTCTTCAGAAAAAAAACTTTTAAAAGCCTTTTATTCGAACCAAACTTGAATAGGCGCATAGTCTTTCACCAACTGGTCATCACACACGCTGGCGCAGACAAACATACACAATTTAAAGAAATGGTTCAATCAGATACTTTTATTACAGATTAAATATAGCTCTGTGGTTCAAGAAAGATCATCCAGATGGGTTAGAAAAACATATATCTAGAGATTTTCTAGATATACACGTGTCATTTCAACTTAGATTTCTAAATCACATTTGGTTGGAGCACACTGTCTGGACTCCAGGCTGAATATGTTTTAAATACAATGTAGTAACAATAATTATCATATAAACCGCGGCGCAGGAGTGTAATAAAGCCATTTAATAAAAACGATATTACACTATAGTCTGTCCCATTAAAAATGGAAATGAACTTTTGCCTGGTATGAATTAACAAAACGACCTTGAATAAAAAATAAATAAAACTTTTTTGTAAACTAGAAAAAAGTCACCCTCGACATTTTTCAGGATTTTTTC